TCTTCACTGTCAAAAGTTGGCAAGTTCTTGCTTGTATCAATGTTCAATGTCCCAAACATGGTCATGTTCATTATTGAACTTGAGTCCAAACTATTCATGTCATATCAATTTTAAGTGCAATTTTGTTCAAATCCCTATCCAAACTTGAGTCCAGATTTGTTGTTCAAATCAAGTCTTTGTCTTAAGTTCAAATGGCAGGCTCCAATTTTTTTCCACAAGTTCTTTATTGGTCCAGCATTTTGTGTGAGTCTCTTGTCATCATGTTGAAGTCCACATTAAGCTCAAGTAATTCCTTGATAATTTCTCCAAGTCTTTTATGTCACTTGTAAGTTATATCAAGTTAGAGTCGGATTCAAGTTTGAGTTCTTGTTCATCTCAGAGTTCTAGTCAAAATACAGTTTAGCTTAAGAAGAGCCTCTCCCCTTTATTCGAGTCCCTGCTATTCTTGCAAGTTCAAGTTCTTTATCATTTGCACATTTTTTATTGGATTCAAGTTTATTTAAGTCACTTAGATATCGTTCAAAGGTCCAAGTACAAGTCCTTCATCGTTCTTGCATGTAATCCGAGTGCAATCAAGTCCAGGTCCCAAATTGTTCTCTTGAGTTCAAATGCAGCATTGCGTTCACCGAAATTTCGGCACCTCCGCGTCTCCCCCGTTAGGGGAAAACTACGGAAACTGGGCCTTTCCCACCACGCTAAGAAAAGCGTGTATGGTAGGTGCCTCCTTTGAGGACACCCGCCGGTGATTTTCGATCCCCCACCTCCCACCACGCTAAGAAAAGCGTGTATGGGTATTTTTGAAAATATTTTGCAAGAACAGCAGTTATTTCCCCGCAAGCGGGTACTTATGGGTATCCCAACTTCGTCGTGCGCATCGCACCGGGATCCCTTCCCACCACGCTAAGAAAAGCGTGTATATGCGGGGTTTCCAAGGCGATACGAACTTCATAGAAGGAATTTGGGTGATTACCCGCTTCGTCGCAAGCGTCGGGACGCACTCCCTCCCACCACGCTAAGAAAAGCGTGTATAGGTGGTCGTTTTGTCTCGCCGCATGCATCGAAACAAGTTCTCAGAGTTTTAGGGTTCTGCGCGGGGTTGATGACGGCGGTGTGAGGATCGAGGTCGGAGCACTTAATTTATAATTAGTGATAATTAACTATAATTAGTTGTATTTGATTTACAACTAGTTATATTTAATTTAGAACTAATCATAAATTAATTGGATTTAATTTATAATTAACTAAAAAGTAATTATAATTAATTACATTAAATATATAATTAATTATATTTACATTAAGATTAATTATAAATTAGTTGAATTTAACTCATAATTAATTATAAATTAAATACAATTAGTTATATTTTGTTCATAACTAATTATACTTTAATTTAAAATTAATTATACAACAACAACAACAACAACAACATCAAGCCTTTATCCCATTATTTTCATTTTAAAATTAATTATAGATTAACTAAAATTAATTTGGGATTAAATATAAATCAATTATAATTAATCTCAAACAATAATAATAATAATCATAAAAATAAAATAAAAAAAGACAACAAAATAAACCTCTCTCTCACTCTCTGGTTCGGCCAAGGATGGGGCAAAGAAGCGCGTGAACGAGATAGAGGAGAGGGATGGAGATCGGGCTGGAGTTCGGCGTGGAGAGGAGGTATGAGGACTTCTTTCTTCCTCTCTCTCTCTCTCTCTCTCTCTCTCTCTCTCTCTCTCTCTGCGGCTTGGGGTCGACACAGTGACGGGAAAGGAGGGAGGAGGTCGGAGCTGTGGTCGGGAGCAGAGAGGGATCGGGGGGCTTGGTCGCAGGAGAGGAGATCGGGCGTGAGGTTGAGAGGCGTCGGCAGTGAGAGCTTCGACAGGGTTCGTGCGAGAGGAGCTCCGAACAGGAGTTCGGTTGGAGGTTGACGTCGGGTTTGTTGTGTGGAGTCGAACAGAGGAGAGGGTGGTCGGGATTTAGTCGGAGCAGTGGTCGATCGCTGGTGTGGAGGTAGCGACGGGAGCCAGCAGCAAACTGAAGAGCCAACCATTTGGTTTTATAGAAGCATAGAAGGCGAGGATCGAGGCTCTGCGAACAGGAATCCCGAAACGGCGCCGAATGTGCAGCGATTCAACGAGATTTCGGGCAGATTTTACGGGACTCATTCGACGAGACGAGGTATCTGAGCAGGATTTACGGGACTTTGACAAAGCCAACAGTGATACGAGGTTTTTCCGGGATTTCTGGCGGGATTCGCGTGAGCTACTCGACAGATTTTGCGGATCCGTCGTGTGTAAGGTATTTTTTAGTCGTTGTTTTCTTTGGTTCCTTTGAGTATTATTCAGAGGTCAACAGGGATTGACTTGATGGAGGTAAGATTTTGGTGGCTTGTTAAAGATTTAATATTAACTTACTTAAGAGGTGGTTTACAGGAAGACAGCAAGGATAAAACCATAATTAAATTATAGTCACAATGCAAACAAGGATTGGCATGCAATTTGAGGCAAGGGCATCGATATTATCTTAAGATTGTGTTTTCAATTTAGGTCAAATGGGATTTAGTAGAGTCAACGAGAGGTATTCCATGAAACTAATTGCATCATCTGACCAATCACGACTAATTGAATCGATCTATATCCTTAATGATCTAATTAGTTCAACTAAACAAGAATCAATAAAATTATTTAGGTTGTTAATAGTTTAGACTTTAATCTTGTCAACCTTGTACATAGAGAGCTATAGAATTTGAACAAAAAAACATGCATACTTTATAATGATTTCATTCACTTATAAAATTTTGAGCCCATTTTAAGGGGGCACTTGGGCATATAAATATTTTTTCCTAAGCAGGAAAAATAAAAAAGTGCATTTACCTGTGCTAATAGTGGGCTTGGGGTGAACAAAATTACTTCATAAATTTCTATAATTTTCTAAATTGGAAATGGTGCTAAGGGCCATTTGGTCATTTTGGCATTAAAGTTATTCAATTCAGGCTAATTGGAGTCCTAATGTCTTGGTATTTGATAAGTAAACCCTTCCAATAAAATTTCATATTTTAGAATATTTATCGAATATTTTGTGAACAATTTTGCTTAAAATATATTTTGGTAATTTTAATAAATAAATAAAAAAACATTTTCAAAAAGATAGGGTTGAAATTCCTTCCTACAACCAATAAGCGAAAAATCTAGTCAAATTTCACGAATTTTTGGAGGCCCTTGAAGTAGCAAGTGAATTTTCAAGGGACATTTTCTTCATTTTAGAAAGGGAAGTCATGTAATGTTGCAAGCGGCAGTAATTTAATAGTGCATAGGGCCTTCATGAGTCATTTGGAGTGGAATTTGACTTTATAAATCAATTTTGTGATATTTAACCATCACTTTGACTCATTTGACAATCAAATCAACATTAAGCAAGTGGTATGGATTAAAGGTCACCATCCAAGTGGTCCCAAAGTCAGGAAATGAAAACAAGGGATGTAAAGGTCAGGGTTTAGGACCTAGCAAAGCTGTGAAAAGCTTGCCGAAAGCTAAGTTGCATGTAGTATGGCTGTTATGCAGTTAATTATGGAGTAATAACGACATTAAATGTAAGAAATGACCAAGGTTTACACAATTGTGTGGGTGGGTATTGAGGCGTTCTCTGTCTGTGAGGCGAGGCGTAAGCCTCAAAATACAAAAATTGTGTAAAGTCTTGAAGAATAAAAGTGATTTTTTTTATAATAGCAAAAAATATATATTAAAGGATAACATAAGAAATAAATTGGCATACATATAAAACAAAAAAAACACAAAAAAGTAAAGTGACAAGTGAAAATTATGTGAATAATAATTGAAATTCAATCCAAACAACACTATAGCAAAACAACATAAAATTATGATGATAATCTGTTGCATGTAAATGACGATGAAGCCTTAGCTCCCACCGTTCATCAATAGCAACGATTAAAAAGGCGGAAGAGGCGTACGCACTGAGACGCGACTCAAGGCGAAGCGAAGCATTTGCACGTTGAGGCTTACGCCTCGTTGGATTCGGCGGAGCGTGCGCTTATTTCGCAAATCTTCAAATTCATAGTTGACATAATATTTTGTTATTTTTTGTCATTATTTATAATTTTAAATTAATTTATTTTAATCGTTTTGATTCTTACGCCTCGATCCGCCTCAAGGCTTACGCCTCGCCTCATTTAGAAAAAACGCCTCGATTCCCGATTTCGCCTTTTAAAACCTTGATCAATAGTATCTCAATTTTTTCTATAGCTACACTCGTCACCTCCTAAGTTGTGGGCAATCAACTCATGTGCTTCATCCATAACATTGCATATGAAACTCATCACAGACTTTTTTCTCAGCATCTAACATCCTCAGGACCTCAAGCTGATCCAAATTAACTGGGAATAAGCTAGAATATCTAGGTTGGCTAAAATTAAATGGCGACACAAGGGTTGATTGAGGCTAGGGCTGACCAAGAAGATCAGGCCAAACAAGGCTGATGAGAATCAGCTGGGGTTAATTTGTAGAAATTTTTGGGTTGCTGAAGTTGTGAATCAACCTATCACTTATTTTAAAAATCTTGTCATGTTATTGCCAGCCAACCACTCATAAGGCCAAATAGATGGAAACCCCCATTAAGGATACCGGTAAGTTCAGGCTCATCGCTATCACAGTCGCATCACCTTTAGATGTGATAAAAGCAAAAGGGAAAGAAAAAAAGGGGCACTAACAACAATGACAATTTAAAGGCAAGTAGAAAGCAAGTTAAACACAAGCTGAATCAAAACAAAAAATAGGCTCAATATTTTTGCATTCGACAGCTTAGCTATTCATTGAGATCATAAATAGACCGTGCATTCATTACGACTAGTTAAAGTTAGATTTGTGCTTCATTGAAAGTGCATATCACCTGCAACAAACAGACAACAAGTGCTCGTAACAAGAATAATCATCTATGAATTTCATTGGGACAAGGAATAAATGGGTTGAAAGTGAGCAAAATACCAATAAAAGATTGTTCTGCAATCCATCCTTCATCCTTCTAACATCAGAGGTCTTCTCCATTAAAGATTTGATTTGGGCCTTTTTATCATCAAGTAATGTCTTCAGTTCATTCAACCTATTCTGAGTATTAAGGGAAAAAATAAAAATCTATGTATTCAAATAAAAACTTGACAATCTATATGGAGCTTACAGCTAATAAGAAATAAAAAAATGTCATATTTTACACAACACACTTCCGTTTTATGAATCTTATACTTCGTTTGGGACGACTTTCTTACTACCTTTTAAAGCAGCTTTTTAGCATAAAAATTTTTTGAACTAAAAATTTTTGTACTGGAAAGTTGCTTCCATCTCAAACAAAGCCTTAATGTTTGGCAATCAATAAGACAATGAAGTTCACAATAGCAGGATGGAGAATGTCAAAATTGATGAAGTAGGACTTGTAGAGATTTTTTTTTTTTTCAGTTTTTTTTTTTTTTTAAGTAGGACTTGTAGAGATGGAAGTGCTAGATGATTATGATAGGGAAAGTTCAGGAACAAAGCTAATAAGAACGATGCACCCCATTCAAAGTTCAGGATGCCAAAAAAAAATCATATTTAAAGAAACACAAATAAGTCAATGAATTAGAATTGATCCTGGGTCCAGTGCTAAGCTAGCATAGTTAGTAAGTAGCAATCCAAAATAACTTGTAGCTAAGAAAGCACGCCACATGTAGATCTTAAGAAAAATGAAAAGAGAAACAAAACATGTTACTTAAGACTTTATCTGTAGTATGACTTTCGTTATTGTAAGGCAAAACGAAAAACTAAACTGAAATTAAAGGTGAAAAATTCAAGTGCAGATCTGACATAAAGCAACATAATAGAATAGAGCTGTAAAAAAATTATTCTAAACAATACGATTCAACGAATAATTTTCATTTCAGCAAAGGGGAAATTTTAAAATTCTTACAGCAAGGATATATCAGCATGAATTAAAAAAAGATGCCTGTGACAAAAACTTGCACATTTTAGAATTTTCTACATGCAAGAATAAAGTAAATATCAATCAGTTTATATAGCCAACATATCTGGTAATGCACTAGTGGCTTCATGGATAAAAAGATACATTTCATACAGCTCGTGCAATTTAATTTTAGAAGAAATATGACCATCAATTACAAAAAGACAATTGAAGGTACAGCCAACAGCACATGGAGCAATAAGTGTAAGTGCAATATCCAACAGGGTAGTAAAGGAAAGATTCTGAAAGTTCAAGCAAGCAGGCATTAAAACGTCAATCCAAATCAAGCATATCAAAGTTTCATAAACATCATAATATATGAAACAAGCTTGCTGAAATTATATTCCAACAAAATCTAAAAAAGATCATCTGCAATTTCAACTTCAATGCTTTTTGCTTACTGAAATATTAAAGTGAAGGCTATTTCAATCTTCTTACTCGTAAGAAAAAAGTTTTTATAAGAGTTAGGGTTGTAAAGGAACAACCTTATCTTTCACAGAAAATAAAAACCAACACAACAGAATATGCAGAATGACTGCTCAATCAGTAAGACTAATGTCAGGTTCTAGCATTAATGCTGCAACCCATCCTAATATAGCGTGAATGAATCAACAATTTAGATGCTAGATTGCTTACTGCTAGTCGGTCAATTCTAGCTTGGCAAGTAGGAACCCGATCTTTAAGTTTTTCAAACTTAACATTTTGATCCGCAATTTGTCTGTCAACATCATACACCCATGACCAAGCCAATTTTTTCTTCAAATTTTGAACCTCCTGCGCAATTTCTTCAACATGTTCCATGTTCTTAATTTTCTCACGCAATTCTTTCACCTCCTCAATAATAGGACGTACTGACAATTCTAATTCAGCAAGAATAGCATCAGCTGCATTCAAGTGGCTTTTAATACCGTCAAGTAGCTCGCTAACTTGCTGAAGAAGTGTGGCCTTGAAGAAAAACTGCAGGAAGTAAAGTATATATGAAATGGGCAGAGAAATAAAAAAATCACAAGTGGGAAACAAGGATGCTAGCAGATGGCATACAAATTCATTGCATAAGCACATGAGCTTGCAGTTTACTTTCAGCTTAAGTAGCAACACTAGCATGAAACAATGAAACTGGGAAACCAACAAAATGATAGATAATTTATCTGAAAAACAATACCTTAAATTTATCCTTGTCATTCCCAGAATGTAAAAACTCCCTGCTTTTATCTTGAGACATTATCACACAAGGATTCTCAACGTCAATCTAAAAAAATTGGAGTCGAACTAGTTAGAAGGAGAGCTTCAAGTATGAATAGACAAACATAACAATCATCTCCAGAAAATAAGAGAAAATAAAAACAAAGCAGGCCCCAAAAACACAATGTTATCAAACAAAACATTGCCCCTCAGAGAATAAAACTTAAACAAAAGAAAAGCTTTCTTTACCAAAAGATGGATGGCATTGCAAAAGTATGAAGAATATGACAAGAAACACAATTAAAAGCCACCATGCAAAACCTGCGGCTTCAGACAAATGACAATGAGCTGCTCAACATATGTAAATACCGGTTCAGCCGGTTCAGCTGAACCAGCCTCTACTTAATGCAGAGGCGTCACGGGAGGGGGATCGCGGTCCAGAAACCGCAAGCTAACCGCCCGCGTGCGTGAACCTTCCTGGACGGTTCGGATCACACCGTCAAGCAAATTTTTACGTTCGAGCGTGAAAAGTAACGACTCCTTGTGAGTCATAACTTCCATTCACTCATTTCTTTTGGAGCAAATAGCGTGAGAAGTGTCAGCCGAGAGTGAGAGGAAGCAGAAAGTAAGTTTCCAAAGTCATTTCTTTGGCATTTTTTTCTTCTGTGATTTAATCCTAAGAAAAGATAAGTTATTTTAAAGAGAGATAAAAGAAGGAATTGAAATAAAAAGTGAAGAAATTTTTGGGGTAAACAAATCAATGGATTTTCATTCCTATCAACAGAAGGAGTAAGTTAATTTAATTGTTCTTTTACATTCACTTATTAATACTTTATTTTCTCTAACTTACGACATAATAATGATTAACAAATAGGAAGGAGAAATTTGGTAGGGAGTGTCTTGATTTAAAGAGAAATAAGAGAGAAGAAGACGTATTGAGGTAATTATAACTGCATGAGATTTTCAATAAATGTTGTAATTATATTACTGAATAACTTAATGTTATCATTAGTAATGATTAATGCAAATTAAAGGAATTTTTGGAACAATGGAGAACTGGTTAACCTAATGTATGAAGGTGACAACTGAAGCTAATAATAGATCTCAAAAGAGAGATTGGAGATTATAGTAAAGGGATTGTCTAAAGAGTCGATGGTTTGAAAAGAGCTGAAGCCAAAATATTCAAAGTGGGTAAATGATGTTATACTATAGATATTTCATGATTCTATTTTATTCATACAGTCTCTTGATAATTTGCATCAATTACAAATGTTTGAAGGTATAGATATTTCATGATTCTATTTTATTCATACAGTTTCCTGATTATTTGCATCAATTACAAATGTTTGAAGGTTATTACATCCAAAAGATTTCATAATAAAAGTTAGTTATTAAACTGAAAGGTAATACTTGTATATATATGTAATATATGAAATATGTGGATAATAGTTAGATACATGGAAAAGAAGAAGAAAGAAAAATTTTGGAATATATATATATATACATTTCTAAAGTTATATAAAAGAAATCATATAATTAAAATAAAACAGATATAAATATAAAAAGGAAAAAGTATATGCATGCAAATTACAGGAGTTCACCCTCGTATGGTACGGGATGGGGAAGCAACGTACCCGTGCACGTTAAATGGAAATGGAAAAGGAAATAGAAATGATTGTACCTTAATTGATACATTTAGATGGTGCTCCTGTACTAATGAAAATGATAATGAATTAAATGTCAAATTTATTAAAGAAATGCTAAGTGGAAATGGACAAGTTAAATGGAATATGAAATAATTTATGTGAAATTATATAACCTACAGTATATGAAAGAAGATGCATATGTTAATAATGTAAGAAAGTTGAAGAAAGATGTATGTTTATTTTATATGACTATTTTATATGACTAATTGTTGTATATTTAATGATGATTATCCACTGAGTTTATTTTGTAAACTCATTCTATTAAACTAACATTTTCAACTAAGACTCCAGAGAAATAGAAATAGTTGAAAGGGAGGAGTATGTCTATAGAAGATGGCATAGATAAAAATAGGTAACTTATGATTGATGTAAATATTTAGATTGAAAAATGGTATCAGTAGTTTAAAAAAAAAAAAATAATAATAGTGGCTCTTCAATTATATTGAGAAGCTGAATGTTAAATTGTTTATGAATTGAATGAAGTGTTACACTTGTCCGACTTTTCGTTCCTGCCTCGTTAATTGGAGTATACGGGCCGAGTTGTGACAACATAGCAAGTCTAGATAGAAATTTTATGGAACAGCTAATTTTTATGTGCACCTACAAGCAGCAGAGCAAGGCGCACAAAAGAACACTAAGATGCAGTCCTTCAATTCAATCATTCCCTAGAGGGATGGTACCATTTGTCTGCCATACTCAACAGATATAAGTTCGAAAAAAATATCATCATATCATTAGCTTTATCCCAGCTATTTAGAATTGGCTTTAAGTGATAGTGAAATGGAGACTATGAAAACGTTTTATGGCAGGGATAGGGAAGCCAAGAGAGAAGAAAAGCATACAATAAATAAATAACAAAGAAAAGAATCAACAATAAAAACTTCAAACACTAAAAGAAGTTGTCAGCATTTTTTCCTCGGGGATGGGACTCTCTTAGCACAACATTTTCAACCACCTATTTACCCCAATGTAAATTTGTATATTTAAGAGATATCAGAGATCCTCCGGTGAAAAAGTAGTGCATTTATGAGGATCTACTTGTTCTTAGGAGGACTGACATGTTCGAAAATGACAAATCTAGACCAATACAAATCGAAAGCCTTCTCAAAAAATGATATACTTCAAATGCATCCCTCATACATGTCATAAGGTGTTGAATGATCACACTACCCATGTTTATGATTATTAGACACTAGGGCAGTTTGACTTCAAGTAGGACTTAAGTCGGTTTTAATAAATTCTGTAAATCCTAATTTAATAAATCTTGAGATAGTTGAATCCTGAAAATAGTTTGGCATGATAGAGATTAAATCTAGTTAAATCTTGGTGAAATATTTGGCTACTTCAAGATTTGAGTCTGTTAAATTAAATAAGAATTTTAAAATAATTAAATATTAAACTAATTAACTACTAAAAAAAGTATTTAACCTCTAATCTATAACTTCTAAATGAAGAACTAAATATCAATTATTGGCTATATAATAAATTGAATTACTTATTATCCAATCAACTAGTTATCTTTCTCATGTGATTTACTATTACTTTAGCTTATACGGAAAAAAAAAAGATAAGAGAGCAAGAAAAGCTAATAGGAGCGAAAACAGAGTTATGAGAGGAGAGGATGGCATTTTATCATTGACTGTCTATTTCTATAATTTCTCTTCTCTTTAGTCTTTGTCTATGCTCTTCCTATAGCCCTAAGCCTATTTAGGGTTTGATTTTCCTCATCACCATTTCTTCGTTGCAACTTCGACTTCAGCTACTTTGCATGAAGTAGATTTTTGAAAGAGTCGCTCAATGAAAATTCAGTCTCCATTGATGATATTGTTGTTCCTGTTGATTGGAACAATAGGAGCATGAAATCAAGATTTAACTTGCCATGAGATTAGAGTAGACCTTTCTTTTCATTTGGCAATATTTAACTCAAAGCTTGCTTAAATCTTGTATCAAAACAACCCTAAGCTTCTTCGATTTGTATTCATTAGAATTGTTATTAACTTGAGTCGTATGTGCGGATAGTCCGCTTTCCATGAAATTATAAATAGAGTTGGAGGATTATTGACATCAAAACCACTTCATAAGAGTGACAAGCCTAAATAACACCGATAAGAGGAAATCAAATATACAATTCCACATAGAATAAGGGTTGGTTTGGGACTACTACGAAATTTTGTAAAGGGGTTGTAAAGTTATTGTAGGAAAGTAACCTTTTTGAAAACTATGGATATTATAAATAGTCTTTTTTGCAGAAGTCGGACAACTGTTTTCTTACAGCTACCATTTGCGGAAGTCGGACAACTATTTTCTTACGACTACCATACATTAACAAATATGTTGTAAGAAGTAGCTTCCCACCACAAAAATTCAAGGGAAGTAGCAAAAAAGTAAAAAAAACAATAACAAAGCAGTGAGAAACCTGTCTCAAACAGATCTAAATTCTAAACTCCCCACAAACCTACATATAAAATGTAATTTCTCAATTTCCATTCATCATAGCAATATGTATAAATATTTTTCAATTTAATATCTGCCATGTAGGCATACACATCAACAATGCACAACAATTTATAAAATCTCAAAACTATAGGGATTCAATTTGGAGATTATGCCATTACTCAAGATAATATATAGACATAAGTAAGCATGACAAAATGTTGTAATATAGGTCATATAAAATACTTTTAACCTCAAAAATTATGGTTGAACAAGACATTTTGATGCAAATGATAAAGTTAAGCATTAGCCTCAAACAACTAGACGTACCCTCGCCCACAACCTCCAAACAGCCCATTGATTTCTATAATTTTAAGTTTTAACAATAAATACCATAAGGAAGGATTGAGCAATATATTATTTCTTTTAGACTTTTGTGCTTCTTTTAAACACACAGAGTGAGAAATTACTGGCATTCAATGAGTTATTCCCTGTGTTGCGAGTAAGTCCCCACCAAATTCAGGTAAACCTGCCTTCACTTCCTCCATAATATATATTCACTTTATTCCAACCAAAAAAGTAATAAGGAAGGATTGAGCAATATATTATTTCTTTTAGACTTTTGTGCTTCTTTGAAACACATAGAGTGAGAAATTACTGGCATTCAATGAGTGATTCCCTGTGTTGCGAGTAAGTCCCCACCAAATTCAGGTAAACCTGCCTTCACTTCCTCCATAATATATATTCACTTTATTCCAACCAAAAAAGTAATCAATCTCCCATCTCCAGACAACTTCAATGTGGCTATAGCATCATTTGTCTTCCATGGTGGAGATAGTAGTGCAACCTGCTATTTTATGGATGTATTTGTATTATGTGTGTGTGGGGTGGAGCCATAGGGGTGTAAACGAGTCAAGTCGAGTCGAGTATTAGATTTATCGAGCTCAGCTCGTTAGTCAAATTGTCGGCTCATCCATCTATAAAAGAGCTCGAGTAGGCTCGCGAGCCTTCGGCGACTTCTGCGGTTCAGTCATCTTCCTCGTGTGGTCCAATCTTCTAGTCTTCAGTCCGGTCATCTTCCGTCTGCCTCAAGCCCAACGCCGCGCTGTTGACATCATGAAGCGGGAAGCCGAGAAGATGAAACGGTGGTGGAAGCTATAGCTAACATTTAATGTTTACATCCTTTAGTCTTTTCCAACGTGAAAAGCTGTAGTTTTTTTTTTTCACAGAACTTAAAGTCTTTTATATTTTGGGAACATAACCTACAACTCATATGAATAGCTTTTTGTTTTGGGAATATAACCTACAACTTTTTTTGAAGGTGAATCATTTAATATGAGCCTTTCCGTGCCTCGTTTGAGTTATGGCGAGAATATAAAAAATCCAGTTTTTTAATATTATTTTTTTATTGAACCGGCTCGACGAGCTCGTGAGCCGAGTCTAGCTATGCTCGAACACAAGCTTGTATAATATACAAGCTCGTTTATAAGCTCGAACGCGACTCGTGAGCTCGATAAGCTCGGCTAGCAAGCCTATAAATGAGTGGAGCTCGACTCAGCTTGTGAGTGGCTCGGCTCACTTACACCCCTAGGTGAGGAATTTCTATAAGGTTCCGTCCGGACATAACTTTGTGTCTTTACTCAAATAAAATCGTGACACCTGTATTGTACATGTGGATATTCTTTTATATTTCTTATTTAAAATTTTTTCCCCAGCTCGACTGACTCGACCCAAAACAAATCCTGTTCAAATTTTAGAGCTGAGCATTGGCGCTCTTTTTTTAATACCGCGAAAACATCATATTTTTTAGGATTTTAGTTAAAAAAACATTTCATAGCTACTGAGAAAGAAAAATGAGAGTAAACCGATGAAGATGAAGACTGTTATGGAGGAGGACAAGACGATGAAGATGAAGCTGTTCTGGAGGAGGACAAGACGATGAAGATGAAGACTGCTCTAGAAATGGGGAATAATAGTTTGATCTAGATAAAGGAAAATTCGATAAGATGAAGATTGGTTAGGAGGAGGAGAAGTCGATGAAGATGAAGACTGTTTTGGAGAAAAAGTCAATGAAGAAATGAGGAATAATAGTTTCTCTTTTTTTTGTACACTTAGGGAATATGTAATTTTGAAGTATTATTTGTATATTAATAGTTTTTTTCAGTACACTTAGAGGGAAGATGAAGATGCTTTGTTTTATTAATGTTTTTTCTATTGCAGATGACTATTGGAAAAAACACCACCGATAATATAGCACCACATTCTTAAATAAAGTCTGTCATGTACCGCTGCATCTGTTATATTGGCTGTGATATTGAAATTTTGGCGTGCATCAATACATATTTTAATTAAAATAAAAATGTGTTATGTAAAACTGCATTCATTTATGTGATGTTTTGTTTATTTCGATATCGGTACCAATGCTCGAAAACTGATGGGATCTAATATCTAAAAACCAAGAAGGAGAACACAAGGGACAAATGGAACAAAACTCAACCCAAAAAAGTTAATAAACCACCGGCAAAGAAACAAACTAAAGAAAGAAACATAAAAAAAGACTTAGAAAAGACAAAATTATAAAAACACTACCCTCAGAACAACATTAAAGATCACCTCGCATGTATCAATATAATTAGGAAAATTAGGTGCTCTGAAGAACATTCAAACCAGAGGCAATCTTGATCCAACAACCGTCGGCGCTCCTCGGCAAATACCAACAAATCGGCCAACAACACCACTCACACTTTATATAGGGAAGAAAGATACAATGGCAAGGTACTTGTGGAGAGAAGAAGTAGATAGAAGACTAGAAGACGAAATAGGTGGGAAAAAAAATAGCTCTCAAGCAAAGAAGAGAAAACCCTCAGGTTTAGAAGCAATTTCAGATTCAACAAGATCTCCAAACAGTAGAAATTAGCCCCCTAAAAATAGGAAAAAAAGAAAGCCAAACAGCCCCAAAAGGTTCCACCCATGAGAAAATCACCAAGAAAGAGGCACGGCCAGCCCAGGAACCAAGCAACCATAACACCAATAGCCAACCCCCCCCCCACCCCCCCCCCCAAGCAGGAAACCGAAGCAACCCCAATTCAGCCGAGATAATTAATACACCAAGCAGCCAAAGAAAGGGGAAAATGGGCCAAGCCCAACAAGAGAAATTCAGCCCACCAATAAATGCCCAAATATCCAAAGAAAGCTAGCAAACCAAAAGAGAGAAATGTTCAAAGAGCACCAAACACTAAACATGTTTATAAGTTGCCTTCCATCATAGGGTAAACAAAAATAAAACATAAAATTCCAAATTACATAAGACCAAAATAAAATTTAAAAACATTCGAATCATAAAACATATGCAGATAGATATTAAATGCATCAGTAACGCTCAGTACTGCTCGATACCGCTCGGTACTGCTCGATAAGCAATAATCAATAACTATGTATTTCTTTATCGGATTTCTTACATCTGAATCAATATGACTGGTACAAAGCGATACCGAACATAATTTTTCACTTAATATCAATTCATTGTTTATACCGATGAACTCTCAATACAAATGCTCGGTACTGCTCGATATCAAAGCTCGCTATCGCTCGGTACTGGTCGGTAACTCTTTGCAGCGCTCGGTACCGAAACTCGGTACCGTAACTCGGTACTGGTCGGTACCTCTCCGTCAGGAGGCGCTGCCCCCCTCAAAACCCCCAATATATTCACTAAATGAACAAAAAAAAAACTATCATTCATACAACATGTTCTTCTTTCAACTTCAACTATTCCTCTTCCTCCTCCTGGATGTTTGCAAAGCGTAATCTTCATCGACTTTTCCTCCTCCAAACAAGTCGTCATCTTCATCGTCTTTCCTCGTTTCTTTTTTCTCAGCAACTACGAAAATATATTTTAAACAGAAATCCTAAAAATTATGGAAGTTTCGCTCTATTTCATTTTTAAAAAGAGAGTCAATTTGAAACCCTAAATTTGAAATTGAATATTTTGGGCCAAGTCGGTCGGGTTGGCATGAAAAAAAACAAAAAAAAATGAAATATAAATTAATATCCATGTGTACAGGCCAAATGTTGTGATTTTATTGGCCTCCAAACGTAGAGCTACGTTTAGTGTCCAAACCTGAAAAAAATTCCCAGGTGGGGGCATATAAGTGCATTGTTTAGCATGAGGTATCATTATTGTATTGCTATATTATGAAGGTTATGTGAAATTAAAGACTATATATGTGAAATTAAAGACTATATAAATCAACATACAAGCATTAAGAATTTAACTGAAAATTTAGCAAACAGAAAATTCAAAGGAGCAAAAAAATACTCACATTAAAATAATCTATAAGCTCATCAAGCTCCTTAGACCGCTGAGCAACCTTTTTTCCTTTTAAACATAATCAAGAATATAAGTAACCAATCAAAGCCACTAATAAATTATGTAGTATTGGTACTAGAGGTAATTACTGAAGATGGTAAATGTTTACTCTCATTTTCATCAACAGATAGCAAAATAGAATAAAAAGACAGCTAATATTGTAATCGCAACTGAACATCAGATAACAGTTATTCAGGAACATGATTTCACCTAGCACAAGAATTTCACTAAAATAGATGTAACATAAACATAACAATGGGCACCTCACTAAGAAAAATTATTTAACTCATTACCACTCGATACAGAAACAAGGAAAGCAATGATCATTTAATTTATTAAGAAACTTTAACTCTTGTTTCTTCTCGTTTAGTGTTTTTTTTTTTATTCTCGTGTTCTTATATCCAACTCCTCATTGATATTATTGAGAAGGGTATACAGCCTTGCATTAAAACAAACAAAAAAAACCAGATTATCAATCCACGTATATCCTTTTACTGGGTACAACAGCTCATAGTGTTTAAGGTCCTGCTTTCACTTGTAAGACGTAACTAATATCATAATGGATAACTACATCACATAATTGATTAGCAAAGATAACGGAGGGAAGCAATGACAAAAAACTTCTCAATACACTCACTAAAAAAAATGAACTTATATTTTAAGGTAATGGTTAAAGAAACACTTAAATATTAGAATATATAACTAGATGAAAATGTTTTTTTAAATAAGCAATAAAACACCTACAAAATCGGTTATTTTAAATTTCAAGCATGAGAAACACACACTGTTATTTGAATGAACTCCCCAAACTATAACATAGCTTAGTAATTTACACACTCAAGCATTGAAGCATCAGCCGCAGCTGCAAACTGTGCAATAGCTCAGTTTTTTTATCTTAAGATAAATTGTAATTGAGTCCCTAATTCCATCATTAAAGTTTCCCAACAGGACGCATATGGTCCAAAAAAATCACAAACGTCAGTTTTCTTATGGCTGTTTTTCTTCTTCACAAACCTATATCAACACCCCAGACACCTTTGAGAAATCCTCCACCAACCCAAACCACTTCAAAGTTACAGCTCAAACCTTCTCACTGTTCCCATTTTAAAGGGCCCAATCAGACAACCTCCCACACTTCCTTGCCAAGGACTATGTGTCAAACCATCAACTTGAAGCCCGAGTCGCTTCATAGGGAAATTTAGAATTTACCACGGATGACTAGTTTGTATCTCTAAAAAATTTCGAACGTGCTCATTGTGTTGTAGTTTATGTTTCTCATTTTTTTCCACAAAGTCGTGAAAAAACCAAATCTAAAAAAAGCTCTCTTCTTTCGGCTAGTAAAATATTCTATTTAGTATTTAATTTTTCCTCCTTGTCTATGCCTATGTTACACCAATATGGATATGGTGACACGGATATGACATGATACAGATACGGGACACGTCAATTCTTAAAAATACAGGATATTGGTACGGCGCGGCACGACATTATAGTTTATAAATCATACATAAAAATTAAGAAAGCAATCAAAGCATAATTTTTGAAATTACAAAAAAAAAAATGAAAGCAACATCATTTGTAGCCTTGTAGCTTATAATATCAAAATAAAAGTAAACATTAAATGTCTAGTACAACAACAAAAGCATAAACATAAATTGTCTAGCACATGAAATTTCAACTATTCAATAGAAGGAAAGATATGATTAGCTTCTTCGATGGTTTGTCTTTGAACTTCTATATCATCTTCATTCAATATCATAGCTTATAATTCAGGCTCATCAAGTGAAAGATTAGCAATATCTAATATTCTCCTATCATCAAAAGACTCAAATCCATCTCGGAAATGAGAGAACCTCGCTCGCAGCCGCAAAAGTAAATACGACGCGCCTTTTTTTGGATTGTTTTTTTTTTCGACGGATACGCATGTCCGTTTGAAATTAAATAGTATTTTAATTTGATACGACTTTGTCGTATCCAACATGTATCGGTGCCGTATCAGAGGTGTATTTGTGTATCGGTGTATCGGATACAGTACGCCTTCATACATAGGTGTATCGGTGCAACATAGGTAATCCATCAGTTCCTATAAAATAATGCAGACCTCAATGCCTATCCCAAAAATCAACTTGATAGAATGTGACATCAATAACAAAAAACATAAGCAACATCGCACAAGACCAATTCAAGAAGTCGCACCTACAATGAAGTCATTCAAATCATCATTTGTCACACTAAATAGGACTCAGTCATGCATCCAAATAACAAAAAAGGCCATGTCACAAAATTCGCTGCACAAGAACAAGTCAGAAATACACTTATGAGTGAGGCTAGGATAAAAAATTGACATGTGCGAATAAAAAATTTATTAGGGAGAATTAACACACATGTAATTTTCTTTAAAAATTAATAATAATAATAAAATTAATAATAAAAATGAGAATTAAAATTTATTTCATATAATTAAATATTTACATTCAATAATAGATAAAAACAAATAATAAATCTATTCATAATATATTAAATAAATATTACCATAATTATTCTTTTATTTTTTAATTCTACTTATTTTTTTAGCAAAATAATGAGCATCGCTCTGATTTTCTCACATCCCATTTCCCTACAACATTGGGGGCTACGGAGGCTAGAATGAGTGAGCGGATTGGCAGAGTTCGGGTTTTTAAAGATAGGCTGAGGGAGGTGGAGGGCACATGCGAGCAAGTGCGCAGTTGAGGGCTAATAGACTTCACTAATTAAGAGAACTAGCAAGTAACGAAGGAGAAAGTGAGTGAGAGATGATGCATGAGAGGATAATTGTTAATTTTGAGATTTACTATTATTATTATTATTATTATTTTATAATACATCTCATTACTAATAATTATCCTCTCATGCATCATCTCATTATTCACTCACTCCTTCCTTCACTGCTCGCTAGCTCTATTAAGTAGTCAAGTCTATTAACCCTCAACTGCTCACTTGCTCGCACGTGCCCTCCACCTCCCTCTGCCTATCTTTGACAACCCAAACTTTGCCAATCTGCTCAATTATTCCAACCTCCGTAGCCCCCAATGTTAACGACCACTTCCCAAATCCAACACTCTTACTCAACTCCCTAGTCTACTCGCAACTATCTCCCTACCTTTCTCTCTCAAAAACAAGCATCACCAAGGTTCCCTCCTAAGCTATCACTGCCCCTAACCAACTTGCCAGCATATCAGTGATTACACTTAACAAACTTGTCAGTCTCCTCTCTCTCTCTCCTCTCTCCAAACACAGTCTAATCCTACAACCCTCGCTACAGTTCATCTCCAGCGAACCAACAATTGCAATCTCTCACCTATCCTGCCATTAATGCCCCCACCTACCCTCATACACACTCCAATAATTCCCCAATCCACACTTCTCATGCCACTGAAATCATTCCACTCAAGTCGAAGTCATTGGACACTTCACTAATTGTTGCTTTGCCCCCCAATACTGATACAAGACTAGCCTAAATATTGCCAACTACCCAAGTCAGTGCATGCACCAACACACCTAGTCAAACACTTCCCTCCCTCCATCCCTCTAATAGTATTATATGTTTAAAGAGAGAACAAAGGGTGTGCATTCAATCTCGCCACAATTAGATCTCATAATAATTTAATTAACAACATTTTCTCGCAAAAGTTACAATACATGCAAATGCCCGTGCTTTCCACTTCAATATGGCGAGGAAAAGCCTATTAAATGCATGTTATCATTTCTGAAGGTGACAAACCCCTGTAGGCATGATTAGGTTAAAGACCCTAGCTGTGGTATCTCAAACACCAACCATGCATGCCTTCTTCGGCAAGGTAGGAAAGCCTAGACATCGAGATGCTACCAAAAATTTTACTAAACAAATTCAACAAACAAACAACAAAACAACATCAATCAAGTACTTATCCCACTACGTGGGGTCGGCTACATGAATCATTTTTCACTATTGTGCCATGTTAAGAGTCGAATTTTATTTAAATTTAATAAAGAAATGTCATTTCTAATAATTTCTAACCAAGTCTTTTAGGTATACATCTACTTTTCTTAACGAAAGCCAAATCTAATAAATCTACTCACTTAACTGGCTCATCAGAAGGCCGTCATTTTATGTGACAAAACCATCTAAGGTAACTCTCTCTAATCTTATCTTCCACCGGAGCTACTACAACCTTCTCACATATATGCTCATTTTCTATCATGTCTCTAAGAGTGAAGTCACTCATCCACATCTGCAACACTTAACTTAATATTATGCTTCTCTTTTAATGGCCAACATTCTGCACCATAAAGCATTGCATGTCTCACAACCATCTTATAGAATTTTTCCTTAACTTTGAGGGGAACAAATTCAACAACAAAATAAAAATAGCTTTCTTGACTACAATATAACAAAATGAAAATATAAGTATAAAATTACAAATGAAGGAAAAAAAAACTTAAAATGTGTTTCATGTCATCTATAAATCAACTAAGCATAACTAGAAATGAATTTATGGTGAATTTAATAACTCGCCTATAAGTGCAAACAAAACCTTTTGCATCACCTCTAAAACTCTCAAAGAACTCTACAAACCGAAATTGAATGTGAAAATTACTAAAAGAGTGCCCCCATTAACAGGAAAAATAATATTCTCTATGCAATCTATTTGGACAAAGCATAATCTGAATGCAAGCATAAACATTTTTTTTTATTGACCTAGAGAAGTCCAAATCACAAACCATCTATGCCAAAACATTTATAATACTGTGTTTTAGCTTCCGTAATTTTTTAATAATTTTTTGGCACTGTCAAAAATTTTTAAGAAATTAGTACTTGCAGTATAAGTGGGGTTTTGGGGGCCGTTAGGTGTCTGTTTTACAAACCGATTTCACTAAAATGTTCTAAATAAAATTAACTAATTTATGAATACTTTTCTGTAATTTTTAGATTTTTGGATTTAAAAATATAAAAGAAATTGAATAAAATTAATATTTTAATATTAAATAAT